CAGCAAGTAGATTAAAGTAGTTAGTGATAAAAAGGACATGAGCAGAGCTGAGTTTGTAACAGGCAGAGCAGGCATTCCAAAGGGCATATGAGAAGGTAATATGGAAGTGTGATTTATATGAAGGGACATGCTCCATTATCCTGGAGGTTTTGTTTGCATGTGGGTTCAGAATTGGCAGGAGTTGATGAGTGCAGTAATAAGGAGAGGGCAGCAGTGAGGGTGATATATATACAGTGGATATAGAAGAGAATCACCCCCTTTAAAATAATCAAATTTTGTCGCTTTGCAGCCTAAAATGAAGACACACACAGTTTTTGTTTTATCCAGCTGCATTTACTCAGTGCAACTTATAACATCCAAGTAAAAAATATAACACCAACATGTCAGAGAAAAAAAATCAAACAGAATCACTGAGTTAGAAAAAGGATCAACCCCTTGTGTCAGCCACTACTAACTTTGCATATCTAGACTTTACAATATTTGCCCACTCTTCTTCTCAAGTTCAGTTAAATTTGATGGTGACCGTTTGTGGACTGCAGTCTTCAAGTCATTCCACAGATTTTCAATGGAGTTTAAGTCTGGGCTGTGACTAGGCCATGCAAGAACATTCACCTTTTCTCCTTCAACCACTGTGTGGTCATTTTTGCTGTGTGCTTTGGGTCAATGTGATGTTGGAAGGTAAACCTTCTGCCCATTGACAACTTTCTGGCAGAGGGTAGCAGATTTTCCTCAAGAATTGGATGGTATTTTGCTCCATCCAATTTTTCTTCTATCTTAACAAGTGCTCCAGTCACTGCTGCAGAGAATCACCCCCATAACAGGATATTACCACCTCCAACTTTACTGTAGAAATGGTGTTGTTGGGATGGTGAGCTGTATTGAATTTCTGCCAGGCATACCGTTTAGTGTTCAGGTCAAACAGTTACATTTTTGTCTCATTTGACCTATACACCTTTTTCCACGTGGCCTCTAAACCTTCAAGGTGCATTTTGGCAAAGCTCAGTCGTGACTGCATGTGACCTTTCTTGAGGAGTGGCTTTTTTCTTGCAACCCTCCCATATAAGTCACATTGTGGAGAATTTGTGATATTGTTGTCACATGCACACAATGACCACTTTTTGTCATAAATTCCTGCAACTGCTGCAGTAGGCCTCTTGTAGCCTACCTGTCCAGTTTTATCCTAGCTTTTTCATCCAGTTTGAAGCAACGTCCTGAACTGGGGAGGATCTGTGTTGTAATAAATACCTTCCACTTTTTAATAATAGACTTCACTGTGCTTCTAGGTATTGATAATGTTTTTTTTTATCCATCCCGACCTGTGCCTGTCCACAACTTTCTCCCTGAGATCTTTTGACAGTGCCCTGCCACCTATAGTTCATTATTTGCTTCAGGAAATGCTCCACTAAAGCTCTTTTCATGCTAAGCTAATCAAAATGGCCACAGCTGATCACAGTTGAAAGTCAAATGGCTTTGTGTGCCATTGAGAAGATGATTAGCTACACTTGATTGAGTTTACAAGTCATTTTTAGGAGGGCAGCGATCCTTTTTCTAACTCAGTGATTCTGTTTTTGATTTTTTTTTTTATTGTTTTGACATGTGGGTGCTACATCTTTCACTTGGAACTTTTAGGCTGCACAAGAAAATTCAGCTGGATAAAACAAAAACTGTGTCTGTCTTCAATTCAAGCTGCAAAGTTTTAAAGAGGTTTAAAAAGAGAGGGCAGAACTCTGAGAAGGAAAGGTGCAGAGTGCATATTACAGAGTAAAGCGTTTAAAGTGGAATTCCAGGCTAAATAACTAATCTTAAAAATGCGCCTGTCACGATCAGGAGTCAGGCTCGAAGACCAGTTGCTATAGCAGTGGAAAGGCTCACCTGAAACCAGCAGGATAGGTACACAGGCAGGTCAAGGTGGCGAAGGAGTAAGATAACCCGAGGTGCGGAGTCTAAGTACCAACCAGTGTTCACCAGAGCTCCTGATGGTGGAGATGAATTTTGCTTCATGTTAGCACCAGGTCGCGGTCCTCAGAATCACCTCACCAGGAGGTGAGCAAGCGGAGGTCCAGTAGCGTATAAGCAGGTAAGGATCAAACGAAAGCATGGTCAGTAAACAAGCCAAGGTCGGTAATGAGCAGTCGCAGGTTGGGATCAGGCAGAAGCGTAGTCGAGAACAAGCCAAGGGTCAATAACCAGTGGTAGCAAAATATGGATAACAACAGAGAAGGCAAGGAGCAAGGTACTGGCTGGAGAGCACAATAATCTGGCAAACAGGAAGTGCAGAGACATGGCTTATATAATTATCAAGGTAGCTGTCTAGCATTCCAGGTGGCTCAGCAAGAAGAAACATTGCCACTCACCGCAGAAGGCCCAGGTTTGGACCCAGGCTCTGACAGTACTCCCCTACTCACAGGATGTCCCCTGGACGTCTTAGGACCAGGCTTGTGGGGAAACCTCTGGTGGAATTCTCTTGTTAATCTAGGAGCATGAACGTTTTCCTCAGGCTCCCAAGAATTCTCTTGGCCATATCCTTCTCATTGGACAAGATATTGCAATTTGTTTCTAAACATCCTAGAGTCAAGAATCTTCTCCACCACATATTCTTCTTCACCCTGTACCTCAACAGGTGGAGGAGGTGGAAGAATTCTTCCAGAGAAAGGATTTTCATGAAATGGTTTGAATAGCGATATGTGAAAAACAGGATGAATCTTCATACTGTCAGGAAGTTTTAAGCGAAAGGTAAGAAAAATTAATAATAGCGCCTATGGTCAAAATTATATAACTTACTTATAGTGTACCAGCTGCAAAAAATCACCATATATAAAGTGTAACAAATAATGCAATAAATAATTTGCGCTAGTAAATATATATAAATATATAAAAAATCATCAAATCATAAGTCCAGAAAAAAATATAAATATGCCTATACCACAAAAAAGTGCAAAAAAACTTTTAAAGTGCAAAAAACTTATACAAAAAAAAGTGTCTAAATATGAAAAATTTCACCAAAAAAACCTTGATAATATGATGGCAGATCATCCATAGATATATTTTCAGAAACGAAACTGCAACACGCCGATCCTCATAGATCAAATAACAGGATGAAAAAACTTTGCAATTAATCGGAAATCCACTTCTCCAATAGAAAGAGACCACCTTCAATCGTATCCATGGAGGGAATTGTCAGGCACTCGAAAGAAACAGAAAGACTTCATGGTGCAATATTATAAAAGCCAATTCCTTTATTAGGTACTCATTGCACTTACTCAAGTGGTGTCCCAGCCGACACCAGCATCAACAGCATAACAGCAATCACATAAAACGAGCCTAGGTACTCAGCACATGTGCGCAATAGCTGGCAGCCAAAAAACGTAATGACGTCACATCAGTCAAGCTCCGCCCTACGCGTTTCGTCATCAACGTCCTCATGGAGCGGATAGATATCATTATCAAGGTTTTTTTGGTGAAATTTTTCATATTTAGACACTTTTTTTGTATAAGTTTTTTGCACTTTTAAAGTTTTTTTTTTGCACTTTTTTGTGGTATAGGCATATTTATATTTTTTTTTCTGGACTTATGATTTGATGATTTTTTATATATTTATATATATTTACTAGCGCAAATTATTTATTGCATTATTTAAGCGAAAGGTGACTGGGTTAATCTGAGCAGAAATCTGGAAAGGAACAACAACCTTTTGGCCCAACATTGCAGATGGAACATGAACCTTCAGATATTTGGTTGATAGCCAAACCTTGTCGCCCACATGAAAGGTAGGAAGTGTTCTGCGAAGTCTGTCGGCAGCCTTTTTATAACAATCCTGAGCCTCCCCCAAAGTCTCGATCAACTCGCCTGAATCTCCTGCAATGTAGTTAATCTGTTGGCAACAGCAGGAATTTAAGTTGAGATAGGGAGATCAAGAATAAAAACTGGATGATACCCCGTATTGAGAAAAAAAGGGCTTTGGGAGGTGGAGCTATGTTTAGCACTGTTATAGGCAAACTCTGCCGTAGGAAGATAATCCACCCAGTCATCCTGAAGATAACTGACAAAACACCGAAGGTACTGCTCCAAAGTTTGATGGTCCTCTCGGTCTGACCATTAGACTGAGGATGAAAAGCAGAGGACAGGTTTATTGTTACCCCTAAAGCTGAACAAAAGCTTTTCCAAAATGTTGACGTAAACTGTAATCCTCTGTCAGATACCACATCATCAGGAATTCCATGTAGTTTAAAAACATCTCGAACCATCACCCACTGATCATGGGTGCAATGCTTTGCAGGCTCCAGTGAAAAAATTGCACTTTTTTTTTTTCTTGAAAACAAATATGTGCATTTATTTTTTGAAATGTGGACTTAGCCTTTAAGTAGCTTCTGTGAGGTAATGTAAATGTTGTAAAATATCATTAACCACTATAACGCCTTGCTTTTAAGTACTTCCTGGCCTAATAATCATAGGATTTGTATCTATTAACTCATATAAAGACCTCCTTAACATAAGCAAAATTATAAAAAATTATGTGTTTTGAGAAAAGTGATATCAATTAAAGTGAAAGGAATCTGAAAGAGAATATAATTATTTTTACATGCCATGCAAAATAAGAAAGGTAATCAGCTGGAACTGGCTTTAAGCTGTGCTGTGTATATCATAAAAATAGGCTTTCTAAATGGCAGTTTATGTTGTTTTTTTCCAGTTCCACCAAGAAAGCACTTATAATAGTAAAAATATTCAGATCGGTCTGCTACATTTGTAAATCTTAACACAACTTTTTCTTTAAGTGAACAATTTTACATTGTGTATAGGAAGAAGGAGGACAAGGTTTAAATGGGTGAGTCACTTTAGAGGCATAGAAATACATTAACACCTTAGAATAGACTTTAGACAGACACATCACATGGAGATCTGCTTCTAGATAACAGAAGAAAATAAATTGGAAAAGGACACATGGACAGGTATCTCAGGTTGAACATTCTGTGTCTCCTAGATCTCTCCCTGCAGCCAGCATCATGACATTCAACGGGACATGGAAAGTTGACAGAAGTGAAAACTATGATCAGTTTATGGAAGTTATGGGTATGTTTTCTTGCAATGGTATTGCTGACCCCAACTAATGATCAAATTATGTTTGCTTTTATTTCAAAATCAACTTGAAATTTAAAAAAGTAATGTTAATCTATTGTTTGTTCTAGGAAAGGAAACTATTCTTTAAAAAAAAAAAAAAAAAATATATATATATATATATATATATATATATATAAAATATTTGTATTATTTCAAGCTTTTAGTATTCTTTTGTGATAACTAATCCCAGATTTTACCATGTTCTATTTTTTTTCAATCTATACTTTCTATATTTTTAACAGACTTGGGGCTATTTACTAACAGTGGAGGGTGAAAAATCTGGTGCAGCTCTACATAGAGACCAATCAGCTTCCAGGTTTTACTGCCAAAGCTTAATTGAACAAGCTGAAATTAGAAGCTGATTGGCTATCATGCACAGCTACGCTAGATTCTGAGAGTATCAGTTTTAGTAATTCTACCCTGTGTCTTTCCCTCTTGTAGGTGTGAATATAATGAAACGTAAGCTAGCTGCACATGATAACCTGAAGATCACAATCCAACAGGATGGGAACAATTTTAATATAAAGGAATCCAGCACCTTCAGGACCATTGAAATCAATTTCACTCTTGGAGTCACATTTGAGTATTCTCTTGCAGATGGAACAGAACTCGCTGTGAGTCAAAATTAAATATTTACTTTAAAGTGACACATTTTAAGTTTTGAATATAGATCAAGCTAGTCAGCTCTCAGGCTATTATATTTGTGGGGACTCTAAAACTGCAGTGATTTTGTGAGCTTACTCATGTAAAAATTTGTACCTTTACTATAGATAAAAGTTAGCAATCAAACCCTTACCCTGGCCATATGCTTACAATCCACAGCCTGAACAAAGGAAATCTAACAGTTTCCTTCATCCATGCTAAGCAGCGTAGATGGATGAATCTCTCCTGCTGGCTATTGTATTCTGAAAGTGGCTTTCAGAATATTCAAACAGTGTTTGCATCTGATTGGATGCAGCTGTTGCTTGGCTGCCAGTTTTTTACCCTGTTTCTTTAATTTTCAAATTAAAAAATGTTGGGGGGGGGGGGATGTAGATTGGGCCACCCAATTTTTTGTTAATCAAGAACTGGCCGAAATTTTCTCCAGGTTTGGCTAAGTTTAGTTCTACATACTTCTGAATACAACATGCTTCATACCTGCAGTTTATTACATTTATTAAACCCAACACAGTAATTTTATTGCTGTTGATTTGTAAATGGACTAGTATGTGTCCATAATTCTATGAGCAAGTGTTTGAAGAACAAACTGATTGCACAACCATGTAAAAGACTGACACAGACGGGGGAAGTGTGTTTATGGCCCTAATCCAGTTTAGCCGCCATTATTCTATCAGCTTGTAAATCATTACATTAACTGCCTGTTTTCTTCTGTTTTCTCATATAATGGTAAAACAAAATTTCTATAATTTCTTGTGATTTATAATGCTAGTGTATTTAGTAGAACAATGACTGAAAATGTTGCTGTCACTTTATCGAACAACTCAAAAAAGTATCATGGGCTGGACTTATGTTTAACTTAAAGAAATAAAAAAAGTCAATTTTGACATCCCTAAGCCTGAATTATATATTACCAACATAACTACCTTCAAAATGGATACACCTACATTGCCAGGTGTACACCTTATCTAAGTTCTTTGGTTTATTTGATAATTTGGTACAATAAAAAGCAAAAGGCCACAGCACATAATAAAATTTCACCAATAGCGGAGAGCTATGGTTCAGGCCAAACCTTAGCTCAACACTCACCAATCAACAGAAAAGGGAAGTATGGATTGGCTGGAATGAGTTATTACTGCACTTGGATATTACACACATTTCAAGAATGATCTATTTACAAATTTAAAACAAAAACTCATTTGCATGTGTAATATGTCATCAATGTTGTGAAAATAACAGATTTTTTTATTTTATTTTCAATCTCCAGGGTTCCTGGGTTTTAGAGGGAGATAAACTCGTAGGAACATTTAAAAGAAAGGACAATGGAAACGAGCTGAGGACATGGAGAGTGATAGTTGGTGATGAACTTATACAGGTATGTCTTTTCATTTAATATATTTTATTTGCACGGGAATTATGTCACTTGTTTTCAGCTACTCCTATACGTTCTGTTAATAGTCCTGAAGTGTTCTCAGATCATCATGAAAGTTTGAATTTATGTTGTTTCTGGGTCTGGTAATGTTTTTTCTTCTTTTTCGCTGAACTACTAAATATGAGTGCAGACGCAATAGTGATTTTTGATGGGTGTTGTTCGTGGAAGTCTGTGTATACAATTATACTTTCCCATGCAGCTTAGTTGTCAAAATCCAGTAAATTCAAGGTTATCTGTTTAGCTTTGCTTTTCATTACCCTTTCTTCAAATTCTAACAGTAGCAGTGCATGCAGAGGAATTTAGGTAAAGACACTGAGACTGCAAATATACTGTATGTCTTAATCTATATAGGCTATCAAAGGAACATATATATATATTTTTTTTAATTATTATTTTTGAGAGAGAGAGAGAGGGAGGGAGGGAGAGAGAGAGAGATCATGTGTTCACACCCTACAGACCAGAAATTGTGTTTCATTTATAGTGACTACAAAAAAATAAAGCCGTTTGGGTTCATTTACAGTGGAACTTTGAAAAGAAAGTATCTCCAGAGTTTAGTGAACGAAGTGAAATTCTGCTATTTCCATCATCCAATTATGTGCAAGCAAAAATGCTACATGATTAATTTACATGATTTGGTATTCTTTGCAAAGTGAAGTTTCACCACATTCACTAATCTCTTTGGAAAATTCCCTTACGAGATATACTCTTCCCTTACTAAGCGAACAGCTCATCTACCTTTAGTATATCATCTCCTTTGTGTTTAATAGATAAACATTAAAGCGGTACTAAACCCACATCAGTAAAATCAGTCTTTATATGTAGTTATACTCACTGTGGAACCTAAGGTATTAATTCTCTGCAGTGTGTAAAAAGGATGTTTGATCCTGTCTTTTCTGATGCTCCCCTTCTTCCACAGTCCCCAATCCACCTGCTAATAGAACCGAGCCTTGGGGCAAGCTGCACATGCTCAGTTTGGTGTGCATTGCTAGAGAGGTTTTTTTTTTTCTTGGAAGAGTGCATGTGATCAGCACAGGGCCAATCAGTGCTGTCCATACACAGGGTCATGGGTTTTGCAGCCTCATGGGACAGTCAGAGCAGATTGAAAACTCCTCCTTCAAGCTTTACCCACTTGGCAAACGCACCACAGCTGAATGACAGCTACAGCGTGGTTGTCCAGTCCTGGGAGGACGTCATATGACGTCCTCCCAGAACTCACCCTCCCGTGCGCCCCCGGCGATCTCCGTGATCGCTGTGCCGTATGGACACAGCTGATCACTTGATGTGGTAAAAGGCCAATCACAGCGACCTTTTACTACGTGATCAGCTTTGTCCAATGACACAGATCACCGGTAAATGCAGTTGCCGGTTATCAGCTGCACTTTCCTCATGCTGTCACAGCATGAGGAAAGTACTGCCGATAACCAGCAATTGTCAGAGGATGGATCGGCACCAATCATCAGGGCACTGCTGATCAGTGCCCTGATGATCGGTGCCCAGCAGTGCCACCCACCAGTGCCACCCACAAGTGCCTATCAGTGCCAACCACCTGTGCCCATCAGTGCCTAGTAGTGCCACCCACCTGTGCCCAGCAGTGACAACCACCAGTGCTACCCACAAGTGCCTATCAGTGCCACCCACCTGTGCCCATCAGTGCCTAGTAGTGCCACCCACCTGTGCCCAGCAGTGCCTAGTATTGCCACCCACCTGTGCCCAGCAGTGACACCCACCAATGCCACCCATCAGTGCCCAACAGTGCCACCAGTCAGTGCCGGCAGTCAGTGCCACCAATCAGTGCCCATCATTGCCTATCCGTGCAACCTCATCAGTGCCCATCAGTGCTGCCTATCAATGCACATCAGTGAAGGAAAAAAATTACCTGTTTGCAACATTTTATAATAGAAACAAAGAAAAACTTTTTTGTTTGCTCTTTTTTTGTTTATAGCGCAAAAAAAATAAAACACCCAGTGGTGAATAAATACCACCAAAAAAAGCTTTATTTGCGTGAAAAAAATAGTAAAAATTTCACATGGGTACAATGTTGCATGACCGCACAATTGTCATTCAAATTGCGACAGCGCTGAAAGATGAAAATTGGCCTGAGCAGGAAGGGGGTATAAGTGCTTTGTAGGCAAGTGGTTAAGCAGTGCTCAGCTGGACACTGATAGAAGTCACAAGACTGCTCTAACTACTGATGAGAATTGGTATTTAGCAGTTTATATATATTAAAATAATTGCACTTCCATGTTCTGTGTACTGTGGGAGACCAGATATAATGAATGCAGGGTCCAGGGTTTAGCAACACTTTAAGTTTTATAGATGGGTTCTTGTTGCAGTAAAGATGACCTACATGGTCTACACACCTTTGAGAAGCTTTGACTTAAAGAGATAGCAGTAGCTTTTTTCAACCACTAAATATATTGTACATGTCAGAGATTTTTGTTAGACATGCTGCAATCAAATATATACTAATTGTACATACACAATTGAAAATAATTCAATATTCACCTTTTTTATTCCTCTTTGACCTTTTTTTAGACATACACTTATGAAGGAACTGAAGCCAAGAGAATTTTCAAGAGAGCCTAAAGATTGCTTAAAACATGAAGGGACACACTGCTGCAAGTTACTAATATATCAGCTGCATTACAATCTATCGGTTCCTACAACAGCAAACACATATGCACTATTCATCGCTGTATATAATAGATATTGTAGTTTATCTAAAACATGTATGTTATTTTCATTTCGTCAATAAAATAGACCTGCTTAGTGCTGCTCAATTCAATGTTATTATTTTTATATAAGAGCTAATAAACGTTATGCATTTGACCTATATAAAACCAGTCACGTTATAAGGAGGAAGGGGGGAAGGAAGAGGTGGCAAAAAGGAACCACAATAACCAAATTAAAATGCTGTACAATTCCATTTTGCTTTTCAAAAACATTTAACATGAAATCCTTTGTCACCGTTCTAACAAACAAGGTTTTTTAATTACATTCGATGATGGTAAATTGAGCCATTCAAATTATTCCTGTTGTATGAAACCTTTGTCTTCATATTTTACACTGATGACAGCTAGCAAGACTGAAATGGTTGTGTACAAATAATATACAAAGCAGATCCAGCTGAAAACTTTACAGCTTCTCATTACAATTTGGTGGATTTGGATCAGTTGGCCAGAGGAATAATGTAAATAGATTTGCACTATCCACTTGGTAAGAAATCTTCCAAAAGTCACATAGGTGTAGTAGCCAGGACATGAGATTGAGTCTAACACAGACAGTGGTGTTGATTTACTAATGAAGTAGAGGCTATTCACTATGCAAATGTTAGTAAAAGATTAATCTGTTTTGACATTGAAAACCAAAGCATGGGTTAGCAAAAACCAGTTGTGTTTTAATTTATCTTGTATGTGATTTGATATCCTAACTGAACAACCTGTACCTAGGGTTGCCACCTGTCCCGGTTTCACCCAGACGGTCTGGGATTTGAATGATGTGTACGGGTTTCCGTTTGCCTGAGGCCCGGAACATTATTCAGAATGGATTGTGCCAGGACTGTCAGCATGGGAATACTTACCTGTGACAAGTCTGCTCTGCATTTCACAGTGTCCCACTTGTCCATCTCATGAATGTCTCCCTTCCCCACCAGGACCGGCAGTCCGTCTCACTCCCAGCAGAACCAACCAAAGCTGCCTTCTTCTCGGCTCTGTTTACACACACAGGAGAAAGGACACGTGATGAGCTGAGGACTGTAGAAAGTTTATTATACACTGTACATCGACAGGGGCAGGAGACAGAGTGGCTGGAAAAGGGAACAAGTTAAAAAAGATGTACTTTTCATGGAATAATTAGAGGGTGAGGAATTAAGTGGATATGTGCTGATGGGGCGCTTTGACAGGGAAGAGGACTTCTGCTAAAAGTGTGGGTTGTAATCTGCCCCCCCCCCCCCTCTAGCACAAGCCCTCTCCCCTCCCAAAGCACCCCTTCCAGCAAATATCTGACTCACATTGAAATGTGGGTTGTAATCTGCCCTCCCCCTTCTAGCACAAGCCCTCTCCCCTCCCACAGCACCCCACCAGCACATATCTGACCCCCCCCCCAGAGCTATGACTAGCCTTCTCCCCTCCCAAAGCACCCCTTCAAGCAAATATCTGACTCACATTGAAATGTGGGTTGTAATCTGCCATCCCCCCCTTCTAGCACAAGCCCTCTTCCTCCCAAAGCGGCCCCCAGCACATATCCAGCTCCCCCCACCCCCCTGCTAGCAGTAGCCCTCTCCCCTCCCAAAGTGCCCCCCCAGCACATATCCAACCCCCCATCCCCTATGCTAGCAGTAGCCCTCTCCCCTCCCAAAGCATCCCCCAGCACATATCTGACTCCCCCGATAATGCTAGCCCTCTCTACTCCCAAAGTGCCCCCCCCAGGACATTACTGCCCCCCCCACTAGCCCTCCCCCCTTACAACCCCCCAGCACATATTCAATTCCCCCATGCTAGCACTAGCCCTCACCCCTCATAAAGCACCCCCAGCACATATCCAACACCCTCCACCCCCCCCTGCTAGCACTAGCCCTCTCCCCTCCCAAAGCACCCCCCAGCACATATCAGACCCCCACTGCTAGCATTAGCCCTCTTCCCTGTCAAAGAACCCCCTAGCATATATCTACCTCCCCAAATCAAAGAGATGCTGTCTTCCCCAGAGGGGATGATCATGGCATCTGGAACCCTGAAACCCCGGCACCCCAAGAGAGGCAGGGCATTTTCCCCAGATGCCCTCCCTAGCACCCTCCTGCTAGGCAAGTTAGTGGAGCCAAGTGCCAGAACTTGTTCCAGGACTCATCCACCTTGGATTCATGTGACGCTGGGATTTTCTTCAAATCTCAGGAAAGGCCCATTAAAAACCAGAACGATTGGGAGGTACTGATTTGTATTAGAAGGGGAAAGAGGATTTGTGTTTGGAGGGAAGGGTTTCTATTGGGAGGGGGGGATTTGTATTGGGAAGGGGGATTTGGGTGGGAGGATATGGAATGGACGTGGGGTACCTGGCGGGAATATGTGTTTGTCATGAAATTCCCATTCTTAGATCTGTCAGTGAGAGTGTCAGCCTAGAGTTGGGATACATAAGCTAGTATGATCTCTATAGCTTCAGATCAATTTGGTGAGGCTTGCCTGTTTTGTTTTTTTTTTTTTATATTCAAATATTATTTATTGAAAAAAAATTTTCATACATACAGAAGAGAAAAATATGGTAAAACTTGAATGTGAGAATAGAAAGTTCACTTGGGGAATTATAATACATACAAAAGATAAACAGGCGTGAAGGATCCCCACCAATAGGCCGGGGATATTTTAGGTTTCAGATGTTTACATGAGAGGTATGCTCAATGTCAAGTGAACCATTCTCAAGGTCAAAAAATTATAATTAGGGAAGAGATGAGAATTTAGAAGGGGGAAGGAAACAGGAAGGGTAGGCACAAGGGAATACTCTTTTCTTAAATTAGAACGGGTCATATTAGTAATCAGTTTACGGAGCAGTTTGGATGTTTCAGCCATCGAGACCATTGGGCTGTAAATTTGTGTGAAGCTGAGTTGCATAAGGCTATTCTTCTTTCCATTTCACAATGGAGATTGAGGTCTTGAAAGAGGCGAGACAGAGGGGGGGTAGTCTTAGAGCGCCATAATCTGGTAATTTTGGTTTTTGCAGCTGCTAAAGTATGTAAAATAATGGTCCTTGAGTTTAAAGGGAATTTATCTATGCCAATGTGTAGGAGAGCTAAAGCGGGGCTTGGAGTAATTAGCGTATCTGTAATGGAAGATAATATTTGAAAAACTTTGTTCCAGTAAGACTTAATTAACCTACAGTTCCAAAGTATATGGAGAAGTGAACCAGACTCTCCACAGTGTCTCCAGCAAGCTCGCAAATGTTGTGGGTAAAATAAAGATAACTTAGTAGGAGTCATATACCATACGTGTAGAATTTTTAAATATGTTTCCCAGTGGGAGGAACATTTCGAGGCCTTGTAGGTAATAGTGAATGTTTTTTCCCACACAATTGGGGAAACGGATTGGTGCAAATTTTTCTCCCAGTTGGTTAAGGAAGACGTGTACGTTGCGAATAGTTTTTCGAGTATAAGAGTGTAGAATGCGGAAATTCCTTTCTTTGGGTAGGTAGTTCTATGTAAGAAATGATGAGCCGTTGCAGGGATTTCTATAATATGTGAAATATTGGTTTTGCAGAGTGCGTGGGCTATGCGCATATAGGTAAATTGTTCGGTATCAGGAAGGTGGCATTTACTTTGGGTGATATAGAAGGAGTCTAATGTGTCTGAGGTATATATGTCTTGAATATGAAGTATGCCAGAGGCCGTCCATGGTTTAATTGGGGAATGATGTGGTGAAGGGATGATAGTGGGGTAGGGAGTTGGACGTTGTGGTTCCCCGATTTGTTATAGTCAATAAAATCATACCAGGCTGTTAAGGAGGCGCGAATACATGGATGTTTGTGGGGCATTTGATTCTGAGCTATGCGAGGTAGAAACAGCATGTCCGTTAAAGCGCGTGGGTGGTACAAAGATGTTTCCATGGTAGTCTATATTTTTTCAGGGGAGGGATGCCACCAGAAGAAGAGCTGGTCTAATAGAACGGCTTGATAGTAGGATTTCATGTGTGGGAGACCTGCTCCTCCTCTGAAGGTAGGGCGTATTAGTAGATTTGTGGCGCATCTGGGTTTTTTTGAATTCCATAAGAACTTGTTTAATATCGCCTGGAGTTTGGCGAAAAAAGAGTAGGGGACTGGAATAGGTAGTGTTCGAAAAATGTATAGTATTTTAGGAAGTATACACATTTTTAGGGTTGCTATTCTACCTAGTGTCGATAGAGTAGCAGTACGAAGGCTTTTGAGATCCTGTGGGATAGTTTCAAGAAGCGGTCTATAATTAGTTATGTAGAGTTATGTAGAGTTGGCTAGTATTAGCGGTGAGTTTAATTCCCAAATATGGGATGCTGTATTTTTCCCAGGTAAATGGGAACTGTTTAGAAAGTAAGTCCTGGATTATGGGCGGTGTGTACAGGTTTAAAATTGATGATTTGGGTTCATTAAGTTTATAGTATGAAACCTCTGCGTAATCAGTAATATGTGCACGTATCGTCTGAAGAGATTTTTGTGGATTTGTGACTATGAGTATGATGTCGTCTGCAAAGAGACTGATTTTATGTTCGGTAGTATGATATTTGACTCCTGTGAACTTTGGGTCATTTCTGAGCTTGGTCGCTAGTGGTTCTATTAGTAAGGCGAAGATTAAGGGGGATAGGGGGCACCCTTGTCTGGTTCCATTTGATATGGAGAAGGGTTGTGAAAGCGTGCCGTTAGTTAACACTCTAGCAGAAGGTTGAGAGTAAAGAGCGAGAATCGCAGTAGCCAGCCAGTAATGCCATATTTTTGTAGTGTAAGTGCCATGAATTGCCAATGAATTCTGTCGAAAGCCTTTTCCGCATCTAATGATAAGAGGAGAGAGGGACGTTTATCGGTTTCTAGGTGATGCAGAAGAGATATTATTCACCTGGTAGCATCTGGGGCCTGTCTAC